ATATATCTGTTTTGATGATATCATCACTGTATATTTTATGAACGAATAAATATATAGTAATTATAATTATCTATTTGAAAACTTTGAAAACATTTCTTATTAATCATTGATCATAATTTATATATTAGTAATTTATTTGCTTGCATATTTAATTGTCTTAAGGCACGATGCCATGCACCACTAGCTTTATTAATCATGGCACTTTGTGCTCATTCTTTGATGACGTGCTTTAACTTGTTCAACTTTTAAGGTGAATTGTTTCATTGCTAAGATACTTTGCGACTTCTACTATAGCCTTAATATTTTTGTTTGTGTTGAAACATGAAAACATCGCATCAAAAAGAAAAGATACGTATTTAATTGTGAGGTAAAAATATTTTTCCATTTTTGTCAAGAATTTCAGAACTCAGTATTTCCACAGTTTGAGATACTCTGACATATTACGTAACTGATCATGTTTTGAATGTCATGCTTTCAGCACATTAGTTGGTTGATTCGGAGCTTAATGTAGGCTGTGAATATTACAACAAAGTAAATAGTATTTACTATAATATCTAAACATTTTTCACGTTAATTAAAATTGTTTTAAACTTAAGATGAAATAATTTTATATTGTTATGTGAAGACACTAACTCTGTCAATACTCGCGTGTTATAGGTTATGTGTCAAAATATTCTAGTCTTTCTTTAGTGCTTTTGGTTTATTTAATTTAATGTGATATCTTATCTACTACTAGATATTAATGTTTTCCATAATTAGAAAAACTTTATATATATGTCCTGTACAAGACATTTTGAAAAAAAATATTTTTCTGGCTCGAAAATATGTAGAGGTTATTATTTGGTATATCCGTACATTATTATAAGATTTTTTTATTTAATTGCTTCAATAAATTATTTAGGTTTTTGGACTTGGAAATAAAACCTACGAACATTACAATGAAGTTGCAATTTATGTTGATAAACGATTGGAAGAGTTGGGAGCAACTAGAGTACATGAGCTTGGACTTGGAGATGATGATGCAAAGTAAGACTGATCTTCAAACATCCTCTAATTACATTAATTTAATTCTAAATTTAAGACTGATTTGACAATTTTTATTTTTTCAAAATGCCGATGTGTTTAATATATTAATAATAGGAGAAATCTATTCACGTTCAGTTTGCTTATATATTTTGCATTGTTTTTATTTTTGCTGAATTTTAATTATAATTGAGCATGTTTTAATGTTGTTCAAAATTAGTATATATTTTTTTTTACAAGTTTGATTAATATTTCTGGTACTACACTAATACATTTAAAATGTTCCATTTATTGATTGCAGTATTGAAGATGATTTCATTACCTGGAAGGATAAATTTTGGCCAGCAGTTTGTGATTTCTTCGGAATTGAGAGCACTGGAGAAGATATTCTGACTCGTCAATACAGACTGTTTGAACATAAAGATGAACCAGTTCCACCAGAAAGATTGTTTACAGGAGAAATTGCACGTTTACATTCTTTACAGAACCAAAGACCGTGAGTAAAATGATTTAATATGAAAACTTTGAAACAAATTTGAGGTATGTTTTAACATTTTATGTCTGAATGAAGTACATGAAAATTTATTGATCTTATAGACCATTTGATGCTAAAAATCCTTATCTTGCACCAATGATCCTTAAACGAGAATTACACAAAGCGGGTGATAGAAGTTGCATGCATATTGAGTTTGATATTAGTGGATCGAAAATGCGATATGATGCTGGTGATCATTTAGCTATGTATCCGGTGAATGATGAAGATTTAGTATCCAGGTTGAGTCAGATAACGGGCAGTGATTTAGATACTGTAAGTGATATTGTTGTATTTTATCTTCATTTTAGCAGACATACAATACTTAAAAATTATTAAATTAAAAATAAAATTTCAAAGTTATTTTGTTTTTTAGGTATTTTCTTTAATTAACACGGACACTGATAGCAGCAAGAAGCATCCTTTCCCTTGCCCAACAACTTATCGTACTGCACTAACACATTATTTAGAAATTACTGCAATTCCGAGAACTCATGTCTTAAAAGAACTTGCTGAATACTGCTCTGATGAAAAAGTGAGCATTAAATATTGTTTAATGATTATGAATTCTTTTTATATTTAAGTCTAATACAAATAATATTTAATTTGGTAGCAATAAAATTTTAATAACGTGATCTTTTTCTGATAATTTTAGGAAAAAGAACAATTAAAATTAATGAGCTCAACTGCTCCAGAAGGAAAACAATTGTATCAAGATTGGGTTGTTGACCAGAACCGTAATATTGTGCATATTTTGGAAGATCTGCCATCATGTCGTCCTCCAATTGATCATCTGTGTGAATTGTTACCTCGCTTACAACCACGTTATTACTCAATTTCAAGTAGTGCTAAGGTAATTCTTCAACATTTACTTGATAATGTGAATAATAATATTAATTGTAATATTTTGTCATAATTATAACTTGATAAACATAATATCTATTTCTTTAGCTGTTTCCTACCACAGTTCATATCACTGCTGTTCTAGTGAAGTATAAAACTCCAACTGGTAGAATCAACAAAGGTGTTGCAACATCTTGGCTGGCCAAGTTCAACCCCAGTCCTGAGAAACCTCAAGTTGTGCCTATATTTATTAGAAAAAGTCAATTCAGGTAAATTATTTATTACATTATATCACTTTTATCATGCTTAATTGAATCAAATTCTTCCAGACTGCCAACCAGGTCTCAGACTCCAATTATTATGGTTGGTCCTGGTACAGGTTTGGCTCCTTTCAGAGGATTTATACAAGAAAGAGATTTGGCCAGGCAACAAGATAAAACTGTTGGAGATACTATCTTATACTTTGGTTGTCGCAAGAAGTCTGAAGATTACTTATATGAAGAGGTAAAATTTATCATGATTGTCCATTATTTAAAGCAATTAATGTTAATTCAGAACATTATCTTATTTAATAAAGATAAATAAATATGGTTTTATTGCAAACATTTCATATAATGCAATAATTTTATATATTTGTTATAGGAACTTCAAGAATATATTAATAAGGGCACTCTTAAAATTCATGTTGCATTCTCAAGGGATAAAGCTGAAAAGGAATATGTCACTCATTTACTAGAGAGAAATGGTGATGAGTTATGGAATGTCATTGGTGAAAATAATGGCCACTTATATATTTGCGGGTATAAATGTGAATTATATATTTTTTTAAATTTAAAACCGTGCCCATTTAACTATTAATTAATTTTCGTAATGTTGAACGTAATAGAATATAGATTAAAAAGGATTAGATAATGACCATAATTTTATTGTGATTTAGCCATTAAAGTTTTGTTATATTTTTCAGAGATGCCCGGACTATGGCAAGTGATGTTCGCAACATAGTTTTGAAAGTGATTATGTCCAAAGGCAACATGAATGAACAACAAGCTCAAGCTTACATCAAGAAAATGGAAGCACAGAAAAGATATAGCTCAGATGTATGGAGTTAACGCTTTAATAATGTAATATAACCAACATATGGTAAAATATGTATGATTTATATGCAAAAATGCTACTTGCTAATGCATAATAGCAAATATTTTTATAAAATCAAATTTTCATGTAAGCAAGACTATATTTATAATTGCGTGTGATATGTACATATACATATATGTATACTTGACAAGTTATATGTTGCACTAGAAAGATCAAATTTGAGATTAAGTAACAGTTATCATGTTTTACATTTATTCATTAGTAAGTTTTTATGATTTATATAATCACATAAAAAATATGTTTTTGTGGTTATATATATTTTATTTACTTACTGTAATACACTTCAAATATAAATTATTTTATTTATTAAATCATTACCTGGGGGTGCAATAATAGGTTTATTAACATTTTTTTAAATGTGGATAACTTTATAAGTAACTGACAATTGGCACACTGTTACAATTGTGTAGTAAAATGTACTTGCATTTTAAATATTTTAAAGAAATTTTATATTATTTATACAAATAAAGTTTTATAGTTGACATTCCTGTTTAAATTTTCAGTTGCAATGCGATACTTGCATTGTACAACTTTCTCAAGAATGCATTGAAAAGAATTGTAAAATAAATTGTATTGTACATATTAGATTGTTATAGTGTTATAATGAGTTTTAAAATGTATCACTTTTGTAAGGTTTACATTGGTTTTATATAAATGTTTATAAGCGTAATTGGTTGATTTTTTATTTAAATTTGAGTTCTAGACGAATATTGTATCTTGAATTCATAACTTAGTGTTACAACTGATTTTTAGTGGTTAATTAGTGATAAAAAAAATTGTTTTACAGTGTGTGCTTTCCACAAATTATTTCCTTATGAGCTGCTCTACTCAGCATTTCAAAAATTAATGTGATTCCTCATACAATATTGTACATGTTTTTAAAAACTCCACACTTAATGATAATTGTATGAGAAAAAGAATATTTAATACTCAGTAAGTACCAATTCAATTCTATATATGTAATTATTCACAGGTGGGAACAAAATCTTCATCAAAAATTTATTTTTAAATATTTTTGGTGAGCAATGTATGATAATGGTTGCTTAAAACATTCAATTCAATCCAAAATATTCCATTTTTTTATTTAATTAGTTTCTTCAACATTTTAAATTAATAATTTACCACTCCATCAAATTTATAAGGGAGGTAATAAATAAAACAAAGCAATAGATTTTTCTATAAAGTTTATCAGAGTAAACATAACATTTCATAAACAGATGTGAAAATATTTTATTGAACACAAGTCATAATTATGTTGATTAGGATTAAAAATTTAATATACATTTACAGCTTAAATTAGTCAGTGTGAAAATATTTGCTAATTTATAAAGTAAATGAAACATTTTATACACACTTGTTATAAGATTAACTTACTAAAAAACATTATATTTAGAAAAACCGACATGATGGCAAATGTGATAACAAAAATACAAATGTTAAAAAATACGCAATTCATTATTTTCAAATTAGTTACCTACTCTATCTTAAATATAAAAATATGTGCTGCAATAACAAGCCCTATGATACAAGATTCAAAATCATGATCATGATACATTATAAGATCTTCATATATATATAATGATACATTATCTATACACAAGACAATTTTGAATATCTCCAAACAAGATGACTGAACATTTGCAGCTGTTACTTTTGTTAACTTAGGCAGTATCATGAATGCCTAAACGGAAGATGTCATGTTGCAAGAAGAATGATGTACCCAAAGGTTTCAGAACAAATATTTGTGAATAGGCATGTGGAGGATCTTCATCACACTGCAAAAGTAATTAGATAATTCTTTAATAACTACTATTATTTTTAGTATCAGTTATGAGTTTGATTAGCCACATAACAGCAGATATATTTAATTTAATATTAGCATAAGTATTCAAAAGATTTTATAACCTATGTGAATGACTTATGATTCCTGCAGACAGTTAACATGAGAATGTTAAATTGGGTGAAATGCCTTGTGAAACAAAACATGCAAGTATTAAAAACATTTACAAATTGCACCTTGAAAATACGTTGTATTATATAATTAAACTAAAGCTTAATATTGAGCAATTGAGTTAGTCTTGTCAGAACTATGCAAAGCCAAGCAAATTTTACATAAATTGGTTATAAAAAGTCAATGACCATCAGACTCTTTGATCTCTTGTTTCTCAATAGCAGTTAGTGAGTGACAACAGCAAAATTAAATAAACTATTTTGCAACTTTGATAAAGGTGGTATAGGTCTGACAATCAAAAACAAGTCTAATAGATTAAATGTGCCTGCAAACAAAGAAGCATGCAGTGCCTAATACACGCCACTTGATTATAGGGAATAACCTTTACAGGCACACTTCTCAGAAGGTGATTCTATAACAGATCTATACTGAATCATGAAGTGCAAGTCTGAACATGTCGTGCTGAACAAAGAAGCTAACACCGATTGGCTTCAAGACGAATGTCTGTATGTAGTCGTGGGGTGGATCTTCATCTGTCTGCAGATTCCAATTAAAACAATGATTTAAGTCATTGATATCTTTATACGCCTTTGTAGAAATTCAAACAGTAAATGGATTTACTAATAACAAAAGTGCACAAATGATAGAATGAAAATTTTACCTGTAATCTTCCAAGAACATTTATTAAAACACCACCATCAAACATTGGTTGAGAATCTATTGCCGTTATAGCTCTGTTTATTTTTTGAAAGGTAAGACTCTGTGAAAACAATAATACACTTTAAAGTTCGGCAAATTATATTTTTAATGATTTATGAAATATTTTATTCATACGTTCAATTTTTCCATAATTTTTAAGGACCCTTGCAATTGCATTCCTTCAAACGTCATGAAGGAACTTTCAGGCTGCAAAATATCAACACCATCATTATATATCACGTAGAAAAGTAGCATATAATTTGCACGATTGTATACTAATATTTTTAAGTATATAGTACACTTTTATTTAATGGAAAACTTACATTATACATATTTGCTAAATTTTGTCTCTGGGCCGGGTCGTCAAATAATGCATAATATTGTTGAACGAATCCTTTTCCTATAGCCTCATATGCCGGATTTAACGTCATTTTGTTAGGATATGTTCTACCAATAATATATAAAGCACCTCAGGTTAATAATATAGTCAAAAACCTCTCATTTCACAATTATTTATTAAATCACAAATTATTTCTAGTTCTCGAGCTGTCACCGGAAATATCTCGAAAGCTTCGATTACAGACACTTGAGCGTGAAGTGCGATGTGGTTGCAACTTTCAAAAATTATTTTCAGATATTTTGTTCATGACATATTTTGTGCTAATATATTGTTATTAATATCTATGATTTTCATAAAGAAAAGCGCATTTAATTTAAATTGTATATATAAAACACAAATATAGAAAGTTATTGTTGTCAGAGATATAATATATTTTATTTTACCCTATATATATTTATATCATTAAACATTTTCGGAAACAATGGGATATTTAAGTTATTCGATATACAAAAATTTGTCTTTTTATTAATATAAATAAATAAATTATCAAACGATATCAATGTCCAATATATCGATATGTTCATTATTATTCTTCAGCTCAATCGCAATGTTGCAGCTGTCCGTAGCTTATGCCTTGCTTCAGTAACTGTCAGACAGTCAGTGTTCGAGATGTGTTTTCCGAACGTGTAGCAAATTTCTGTTTGAACACATGTGTAATGATTTTAATTATTTAGACGTACTAAGAGTTTTAAAGTTTTTATTTCTTAAACAATTTTAAGGTATGACTGCAATTTGAATATTCATCGTATTCGTTTGCTCATATTTGTATCGTTTATATGCACAACTATCCTTTAACCTTACTTTTAGTTTCAACTTGTATTATGTATTTTATATTGTTCCAGCTATTTATTTTAAATATGGGCCAAACAAATAGGGAAAAAGAAGAACAAGCGCTGTTAACTCATTCAAAGCCGAATCAAATTTTATCTGCAAGTGAGTACAAAAAAAAGATATCAACATCATAAATAAGTTTTTTTTGTCCTTTCATTACAATGTTATAACTTTTATTTAGACTATTCCTATAATTTATTCATGTTGGATTAGTAGATATATATATATATATATATATATATATATATATATATAACTGAATAGATTTGGATTTGATGTTGATATAATATATTTTATTTAGGCCTAAAAGTAAATAGTATGAGTTTTTAGAAATTTATTTAAAATCTATACGTTTCGGCTAGCATCTTAGACTTCATTCAGTGGCAATCAATTTAACTATAAAAATTAAAACTAAATAATTGATATGTTAGGAATTTCATAGAAAAACAATAATAATAATTTAAAAAAAACTTTCAGTTATTGTATCCTAATATAACAGATGAAAACATTATTAATCCATTAATACATAGTTTCGACAACTGAAATTTCTTTTAAGAATTTATTTTACATCCATACTTTTTGGTTAAAATCCTAGCCTTTATTCAGTGGAAACTAAAAACAATTAAATTGGAAGAAATTATAAAGAATGAAAAGCACTTACAATTTGTTAGTCATAGTGTTAAAACCAGAAAATTCAATAATCAATGGTATCAGGATATGGTAATGTACTACACTATGTAATATAAACAATAAACTTGTAATTACACAGTATCTCACAAAATACTAACTTTGAAAATCACAAAAGATATTGTGCAATATATGTGTTGTTCGTAAACTAGTTGAAGACATAATGGAGAAATGATTTTTTTTCAATATTTCTAGCAAGATTATAGCCAGAATCCTAGAAGGCTAGGATTATAGCCAGAACGTATGAATATAAAATAGATTCTTAAAAGAAATTTATTGATGCTATGGTTGATTCTTAGACTTTGTTAATACATATGTCAACATCAAATTCCGAATCACACAACATACATTTAATTACATAACATAATGTATATTTTATATAGATGTATATATATATATATATATATATATATATATATTAAATATAAATATAAAATAAACGTTAAAAATAATTAATTAAATTTCATTTTCTTTGTCATAATAGTGTTTGTAGAATTAATTTGTAGTTCAAATATAAAAAGAAATTTTATATATATACGAGGTCTGTTCAAAAAGTACCCGGAATTTTCGTTTTTTCAAAAAAATATTTATTTATTCGTCTACATTAATGTGGTCCCCTTCAAAGTAGTCCCCCCCAGATATAATACACTTATGCCAGCGTTTTTTCCAATTTTCGAAGCACCCTTGATATTCACTTTTTGATATGTCCTTGAGCACTCTCAGCGATTTTCTTCAATCGAGGAAAACCGCCGTCCTTTCATGGGTCTCTTCAACTTTGGGAATAGGAAAAAGTCACACGGAGCCATATCTGGTGAATTTTTGCACTTTGCAACACTTTATTTCATTTTTTACGCAAAATTTAATACAAATTCTTTGACTTTTCAATTCTTCCATTGTAAAAATCGCCGAGCTCAGAAAAACACGTCGAACCTTAGCGACTACCACAGACAAAGTAAACAGTGAATATAGCTGAAAATTTCATCATACTTTAGGGGCATGTATACCAACACAATAAAAAAAAAATTTTGACAATCAGACACTCCAGACCCGCGAAATTTAATTATTAGTAATTCCGGGTACTTTTTGAACACACCTCGTACATCCAAATATTATTTTTATCAGAAATTCAATATTTTATATTACGATGTAATACATACAATTATAACTAAATTTCTCATATTTTCTGCCCCTCAAATGCATTCCTATGTGTTATATTGTGCATGTATGCCCTTGTAAGAATGTTGCGCAATAATACTAATTACAAAAATGATTAGATCTAAAAAAAAGATTAAATGAATTGATGAATTAATTTATTGATATTTGTTTTAAAATGAATAAAAATCCAATTTTATTTTGTTCTTTTAATACTAAATAGTTTTCGAAAGTGTCTGAACATTTTGGCATACCTTAGAATGAATTGATGTATGTATGTGCGTGCGGATACAATTTTTCCTTAATATTTTGGCAATATGTTACTTAAGGGGCACAACTAGTGTAACCGCCTAAAAAATAGGTGATTTTTGGGAATTTATATTAAAAAAATACTTCATCAATCATTTCAATTTTAAGAATATATTCACACATGTTTTAAGAATACATAGTAAAATTTTTGAAGAAAAAAAATAAATAATTTTTAAGTTATCGTTGATCTCCAACGGCGCGAAAAAAAAGGCCCTTCACTGCTGCAGTGATTTCGGACTTTCGTGGATGAAATAAAAAAAAAATCTCGTTAAACTAGAAATATATTGTCTGTAAAATGAACTACGATGAAAAAAAATCAAAAATTGACAAAATGGCGGCGTTTCAAAAATAAAAGTCGAATTTTACCCAAAATATTGGTCGTTTTTGGACTGCCAAAATTCGATTTTTGATCCGATTAAAAAATCGATAGTTCATTTTACGGAGAACTATATAGAACATGTAAAAAAAATTGATAGTGATTGGATCATTTGTTTTTGAGTCATCGCTGCAGCAAATTCGAAAAATGCTGTTCGAGAAAAACGCGTTTGAAGATAAAATAATCGTTATACCATATACTATGTATAGTATGTATATACTCTTTTAAATGGATGTAACTCAAAAACTATTTGAGATATCGATTTGAAATTTTAATATGTTATTTTTAAAGGCGTAATCTACCGAAATATGAAAAAAAAACAAAAATCGATTTTTTTCAAATTTCACGCTAGTTGTGCCCCTTGGTATATTGATCTTGCCCCGCGAGTGCTCCAACTATCATCTTACTAGTGACTTAAACGGAATCGGAATCTTTGTATCGTGGCTATTATCAGACCTAACATCACTCTATCGAGTGAGTTCATGATGGAATTTGATCTGCCTCCGCCACCGTCTTTACTTCTGTATTGTTTGTTGTTTTTTTTTTAATTGTAGCTAATAATCCACAATTTATGAGCCGTACCGGAACAAATTTCCGTTGCCCAATTCTTTCAGTTTTAGGCTGCAAAACTTTAGGATGCAGTATTTGCCTACAAAATTGCATAAAAATTAATAGTTTCAACAAAAAATTATTCTGTTTAAATAATTCAAATCGGACGCTCCGTTATCTCAGAAACTGAGTTGTCATTTTGGGACTATTTGCCCCGTATCTTCGAAACGGCCTTCCCCAAAAACTAATCAGCACGTCTCCTGATCAATACGAATCGAACGTTTCTCGAATTGTTCAAATCGATTGTCCGTGTTCCGAAATCGTCTACGAACATTGTATCCGATCACACGGACATACATACATCTATTTATTCTTAGGTATTCCAAAATGTTCAGAAACCTTTAAAACGGTGAATATATGTAAAAAAATTTGTTTCCGATTACTATAACTTACCCTGCGGAGATTTAATGAATTTTCTAGGATATGTTTTGCTTCATTAAGAATATTTAACTACAAATACGATTATTTGCGATATATGAAATATAACTTATAATTTCGCTGGTTCATATTTTTGATTCGGCTGGTAATTTTTTTTTTATTAATTGAAAATATCATAGAAAATATTTTTTATTAAAATTTATTTGTTGTACAGATAATCCAAAAATTTTATTTCATTATTCTAAACTTGTTCGTAGTGCAGCCACGTACTTTTATATGGTTTATCGTTACATCATTCGACGGTAAATATCCGTCAGATATAAATATACGTTGGCCTACAATTTTGTTATTTGATTCACCGTAGGGAGTTGAATCCCTCCTAGATATATTTAAAATTATTATAATCAATCTTAACGTATACAGTTTTTATTTTTAAAATGCTCGGATCTAGTGCCCTTCCAGTTTCGATTATCAATTTTATGAAATTTGAATTATGCAGTTTGCTTGAAATATTTGAAAATTTGACATTTTTTATGAAATTTTCATTGCGTATTTTTATGTATTGTTATTGTGCCTATAGAGAATATTATGATATAACTATTAATTGTCATTTTTTGTCATTTGTAAATATTTGAATTAGCAGGTTTTATTACGGCTCTAATTTT